TTTTTAATCCAAAAGACATGATATTATATTCAAAATGTCCATACCCTATCTGAAATGCTATGTTCTATTCATTTCTTTCTTTAATCTACACCAAATTATATCATCCATAGAAATCTATTTTGATATAGATCTTGGCTTGACCAAATTGCTCCAAAAGCCTTGATATTAATGATAATGAATAACAATTCTTTACCATTATTATGTTGAGGCCACAATAATTAACATATATTCACAATGATCTAGCTTTTTTCTCCACAAAAAATATTGGTGCACTTGTTAGAAATTTAGAATACCAAATAAAGTTCTTTCAAGATTTTTATCAATATAATCTTTTAATATCAAAAGCTTTTTTTGTAATAGATTCTAGATTGGGACTAATGATGGTTAAATCCCTTCTTAAGGATAAATGGCACAATCATATAATGGATGCTCCAACAATTTTTTAGCATTATTCTTTTCAAAGACATCTTAAAATTCTTTATACTACTCTAAGATAGCTACTAGTAAGCTTACTTCTTTATGAGCTAGAATTGCATAAATAAAAAAAATGGCATTTCCTTCTTAGCCATCTTTATAAAAGTATTTGCTCTCATAAATAAGGATTTTATTATTGATAACTTCTTCATAGGTTTTGCTTGAAGGAATTTTATAGGAAATTTAATCTTATGAAACTTCCAATCTATATATGGATTATATTTTTTTAACCATAAAAGTTGTAGAATGATAGGATTGGATGTGGTTCTAATAATATTAAATATTATTTTGCTGCTATGGTCCTTAAATGATATTTTTAGTAATATAGTGTCATGAGTAATATTACCTAAAGATAAAGATCGACTATCTATTACTTCTATATATATAGGTTTTGACTTCTATACTAAAAGAATTTTGTGAAGTTTAAAAAAGTCTTCATCTAAAAAATAAATAAATGCTCTTGAATCTAATAAGGCATTTTTTTGAAGTCTTTCTAGACTAAGAAATAAAAATATAATATAACAACAAGTAGATTAGGCATAGAAAGAGGGACCTTGATGAATTTGAGGTATTGAAATGTCTAGCTGCATGATTCTTATTGTAGTTGGGCCTCCTCATGATTGCACTCATAATTCTAGTAGTATGTTATTTCTTTAGACAATTTCTAAGTTTGTAGCCTTCTTTATTACAATATAAGCATAAGCCTTGTTCAAATCAATATTTTTTTTTTCTATTGCAAGACGTTTGAACCAAATTCCATCAATTTATATATCTTTAGTTCTGAAATGTAGAAATAATATATTTGTTAAAGCAACAGTGTACAAATTTTTAATGAGTTGCTTTATTAAAGTCTACGAACATTGATCTTAATAACATTGAAATAATCAATTATTACACTTCATACCTTGATTGATAACTTTATTGACTGTTTGAAGATTAAGTAATGATAATAATAAATCTTTTACATCATCTATTAATTTTCAATAGAATTGGCTCATAAAAGCTTGTTCATGTGAATTGATGTCACAAGCCAATTGCCTAAAACTAAATACATAAATTGATATAAAGCATGACTTTTAATGTAATGGATAAATCTTTGTTATTGCTTATTGAGCCTTCTCATATTCTTTAAATGCTTCTACAAATGCTTCTAAAAAAAACTTCAAAATTACTCAAGATTAGAGATTTCTTTTCGAATAAAAGAACAAATGAAGATAAGACTTATCATGTAAGTAAGGTTCCAATTAAAATAACTTACTATTCTTTTTTTGGATAATACTCAAATTGTAGAAAAGTTATCAATTGAATTTGGTTCATAAATCCTCAGAATTTTGAGTATGTACTATCAAACTTTTCTAGAAGACTAATCCAAAGCTCCTTACATTGTTGAATAGGTGAATTTTCTTATTGAAGTAGAAATGCCACCACCTCCTCAGTTGTAGAAGCTTAAGAAAGTGATTGCATTACAGGTTGACCATCTCTAAGTCTTGCATCACTAGAAAATCTTGCAAAAAATCGCTCAATTTAAATAATTCTATATGCTAAAGTATTTATTGTATTCATAATAACATTGAACTTGGACTTGGGAGACTCAACCATATTAAAATCTTCATCTCCAACCATCTTAAAAGAAAAAATATGAATTTCTAAACAATACCAATTTAAAGGAAGGTACTCCGCAACCTCTAAAGCACTTAGATGCGTTCAAGAAGAGGAATAATCTACTCACTATAAAAAAAAGATCAAGCTAATATTGGTATGAGATATACTATATCCATGACAAGTTGTCGAGATTGCTAATATTGATATGAGATATACTATATCCATGACAAGTTGTCGAGATTGCTAATATTGATATGAGAGCAATCTTGACAACTTGTCATGGATATAGTATACAAGAGATCAAACAAAAAGTTGAATGGAAGAATTTTAATAAGAAAACTAATAAAAACTTGATTTAATCATATAAATATAAGATCAATACCAAGAAAAGTAAACTAAAATTTTAAAAGATGTGTTATTAAGAGTGAGGATTCCCTCAGCCTCAACTCCAATATATACTAAGTATTAAGAAGTTTCTCAAACAGCATCCTTAATCTTTTTAGAATTTTTAAAAATCTAGTAGAATATTTTAAGAACCATCTAAAATCTTTTAAATTATTATATAAATCTTGCTAGAATCTTATAGAATCTTTTAGAATCTAAAAAATATTCTACAAATATTTACAAAAACTTCTTCTTAGATGTCCGTAATAATAAGGGTACTTAATAAAAATAGTCTTTTATATGTTTCTATCTTTGATTTCCATGAATTCTTTGAATATATAAACAAACATTATTTTCTTTTCTTGCAAATGTATATTCAAGAAGGCATGTGAAAGTCGGACATCAAAGATAAAAATAATTATTGTACTCCTTCTCTTACACAATATTGTACATATCTTTGAACAAATACTAGATTGTTGGTCTACTTTGTCTACCACGTTTAGACTATTATGTCGACTTTAAAAAAAATCTTTTAAAGTTGGTTGAAAAAATAAAAAAATAAAAAAATAAAAAAATAAAAAAACTTTAGTTTCTTGCTATTATTTTAGTTAGGTTTAAAGACCCACTTACAACATCTATACCTTTGTTTCACTTAATTGACAACAAAAAAATTACAGTGGATGCCTAAACTATGTTATTAAAGATCTTGTTGCATTATAGACTTTCTCTACCACCTTGATAAAAACATTGCACCAATCTCCAATGCCACACTAACTTGTGATTCCATAAGAAAAATACTAACTTAAAAGAGTACAAAACTATAGCAACAAAATAGTAACCAAGAAGCATACAAAATCTTTATACAATAATTCAAAAAAGTTAAAGAAGAGAGGTACTTGTTAAGTAAAAGATAAAATATCTATACAACAAAGGTTAAGCTATCTCTCACCCCACAAAGAAAGAATCCAAAAGTGCAAGTGTATAGAAAAAATCCAAAACTTTACTTGATAGCTAAATTACCATATTTGAGCAAAATCCTATAATAAAGAGTTTTTTTAAAAAAAAAATACTTACAAGATTTGAATTGACAAGAATGTCAAGTCAAGGTGCTCTCTCCATCTAAAATCTTCAAACTCTAATTGCTACTAAAAATGTTAATTAACATAAAATACTAAATGGATGAAAATCCTTTAAATTAAAGTAGACTACATCTATTTGACGTTGTTATGTTCTAATACAACTATTGGGTAAAAGAAAGAGGAAAGTATTATATTCTAGAAGAGTTTGATTAATAATACAATAGCAAGTTATTCTTAGATTTTAGATAAATATTAAGGAGGTAATAAAAATAATTTAGTGTTAATGTTGTTTTTTTTATAAAAATGGCTTCTATTTACTTTGTAGGTCCATAAGCAAGGCAAAAGAATGTTGATTAGAAAACATAGTAGTATAGACATCTTTAGATAGAAGTAAATAGAAGCTTTCAGCAAAAACTACTTCTATAAATCTTAGATTGATATCCAAAGATGGTACATTATGAATCAAAGTCAAAACCTATCAAAATCTCAAAACAACAATCAAATACTTAAATAATTTATCACATTATATCATTATGCTACTTAACTATAATAAGTAATTTGGTAAATTATCTATCTTTTTGGTAGCTCAATAAGACATAATTCAACCTACTTATTGAACTTTTCTGCACAGCCATCACAAGACTGCACGCCAGCGCAATCTTGTGCATGCAAGAAGCAACGTCACAATGAAAGAGTGAGAGATCATCGAAGCAAAACCCTACTTCTTACAATGTACAGAGGATGGCAAGCCATGCACCTTCATCTTCTTCTCGCTGGTTGACGAGCAATGCGAATGCAGAAGCAACAGCCCGGCACATAAGCTTCACAGCTATGGCGCGAACCCATGTGTTGTAATTGCACACTGCAACGAATTCGTTGCTGAGTCCTGTCGCAGAGAATCAGGCGCTGGTCGCCACGGCAAGAATTAGATTTTTGCGCAGGATTTCATGGCAGCAGAATAGGAGGAGGAGTCATGAATATACTGAATCAAGTGCCGCTCTCCTGCATGGAAAGAGCCCACTGCATATGGGCTACACCTTGCAGGTGCGTGACTTCGGAAATTGTTTTGTGGAGATTTACCAACGTCTCTTCATGACATTCTGCAGTTTCTGGGGAGCGGTTCACATCTGGGAGAAGTCATCGGTGACGATTTTAGCTAGTTCTGCCGATTGCTTGTCTGCATGTGAAACTAGGAGATGGTTGAAATGTGCACAAGTATGTCACTTACAGTGAGCTAATATGGTCTAACTGGAGAATCTCAAAGCGCGCATGTGTTCAGCATTCGAACAAATCATTCAGAAGAGAAGGGCTCACAATTTCGTGTTAGTCATTGTCGAAGGGATGAGTGATGCTTTATAGAAATGGTTGTTTCACTAAACACGACAATGTGGAGTCTAAAAACTCTCGATTGAAGCTTAAACACTGCAAGATTACGGATTTACATGTTGACGCGATGGGTACTGAGAAGATTTGGAGCTGGATTCCCTGAATTGGGTCGTGCAACCGACTGTGGCTTACATTCAATGGGTCCTTGCGGTGTCACTTTGGTTGTGACAACCACTAACCCTACCAGAGTTCCTACGTAAATTTTGGGTCCTTCAATAAGCGTGTTTTGAGATCACAATGAATTCTACTTGCCGGTAATCCGGAATTGATAAAAATTCTACTCAAGTATGTCTGACAACCCATGGCACACGTCTCCTGAATACTTTTACTCTTTGCGATCACATTTGTTCAGCTTTTCAGAATCCTCCCACAGTAGAAGCTCTTAATAGTTTCCACATTAAAGACCTCAACAGCTTAGAGGATCACAGATGTGCTGTAATGATGTTGAATGGTGTCATACTAACACAAAACGGAAGCAAAGGCTTTGATAATGCAATTCCGTGGTGAAGCATATTCAAAATTCAGCAGCCACTTGGGCAGTTTGTACTGTTCCACATTATCAAATATAATGAAGGGTGATCAAAAACCCTTTGTCAATGTTGTTGCGGATATCTGAAAATTTGTTAACGCACACGATCCAGTACTTCTTGCCGTTCGAAGTTAATTTTAATCCTTGGTGATCAAAAAACCTGCTTCAGAGATTGGTGCCACCGATTTTGGGTTGGGTCTCAAGAAGCTATGCATCCAGATTATCTTGTATCAGATTTGCAACACGAGATAGATACTGCAATAATTGGTGAAGGACAAAGTTGGTAAAACAGAATTGAAATTTTGATTTCATGAAACTCGCACCAATAAGCTCCCCCAGCTCCGACCCTCTCCTCGTCAATGACTTAACTCAAAAAGCATCACATCTTGATGCCACCACCAAATCACCCAAAAAAAAATCAATACAAGAAAAAGAATGGAGAAGGAAGTAGGTCAAACTATTGATTCGAACATCACTGTACTTACCGAGTTAAGCCATTCTTCGACAAGCTACAAAACAATTCAAATCAGTTAAGAGTGCCAACCAACCCAGGGAAGCTCATGAATGCACCCACCGAACCGGTTCCCTCCTCATATCAACACCCTCAGGACGGTCGAAATCTGTTCGACTTCTCCCATGGCTGCCAAATCTGCTGATAATGCAAAAATCCACAAGACCTAACGGCGACATCGTTTGTTGAACTCAAACGAGAATCAACTGAGAATCTCCATGGGACTGCGAGAATCGGCAGTTAGGCATAGTGTCGGGATTCTTGCGAACTCCCCTATGACCCCACGGGCCTGCTGCCAGCCGATCATCGCAGCAAGCGGCCCGTGTTGACCCCCCACCAAGTCACCCATTGCGTCAACAGAGCTCCATCCATCACTGAAGTTTTGCTGGCCACGTCACGCAGCACACACATTTTCGTCGCCAGTCAGGGCTCTTCAATTTCGTTTTCCACCGCTGCTCCGGCGCCCTCCGCGTTTGCCTGTTCTAAGCGCGAGATTTAGCTGTAGAGGGGTTTTGCAGACACAGCTACAGCCTTCGTTTGTTGACCACAGAAGAACCGGCATTGAAAACATCGAACGAAAAAGCCAAACCTTCAAAAATCGGTGTATTGAAGAACAGCTCATGTGTATATCGTTTACTCTTTCCGTCCCGTCTTCGTTTCTTCGTTTCTTCGATATTTTATTTTTTGTATTTCTTTTTGCAATATAACTCTTCGATCTATTTTCCATTTAAGAATGGAATAGCTTTTGGGGCTTTTTCATTTTCCCCTATGTCTTACTCCTCTGCTCCAGAAATCTTTAACAACGTAGAAGCCTTCTAAATCCACCACAAGCTTTCAAATATTCCGAGATTCGTTCTGAAAATTCGTAACTTGAATGAGTTAAAGCACACATGTGTGTGTACAGATACGTAGATATTTACAAATATATACGTGTGCAATGAAAAATTCAAACGCCACAAAAAAGAGACATGCTGAAACGGAACCATGTCTCGATGATTCCATTCCACATGAAGGGATTGTCCCGCCGTGCCCCAAAATAGCACCAGGGAAAAATCACCCCACAAGAAGCTACCTGGAGTAAACAGAGAGACAAGCGAAAGGAGCCGCTTTGAGCAGCACTGCCCCAAAAGCTTGATTCCCCACAATCTCCCAGCCCAGCACTTTCGAATAAAATAGAAGATTCATTTCCCACCAGATACCCAATTTTTTCCCGTGGGCGTTAACCATAGCTAGGCGCCGAAGCCATTCCAACCAGATTTCAGAATCTTATCGCAGAGGCGCTACTGCCACTACTTGGATAATTTATACATGACAAAGTATATGGTTCATTGATGAGGTCCTTCGAAGATTCGCAAGCTTATCCAAAAGCTGAGGGAGCCACACTCCAAAGGTCAGTCTTCTGGCAGAGGGGGCTCGTGCTATCCGTGTGGTCTCACATTTATGTGCCTACTTTTAGTCTCCGATGGATACGTCACAACATAGTGAAATCCACCGAGGGTGGTGTAAAACAAAACCAAACAAACTCATCTAGAAAGAAAAAGAAATACAAATAACTTCGAACAGTTTTCATGAAACGATGGTTGCGGAATGGAGAAGATTTCATGGTTCAAGCTCCGTGATCGGAGAGAAGTCTGTGTTGCATTGATCGGCTCGGGGAATCTCTGCGGCAGTCATATTCTTATGGATAAGCTTTGGCCTCATGCCACGCCAAGAGGGGAATTACGTGTACTGGCGCTCATGTGCACTGCTGATGCGCGAACGCATATTTTCGGGTGCTCTCATGCACCACTGGCGGAAAAATATGTGTTCCGGCATCGGAAGAGGTCAAACGGGAAGTCGACGCAGAGAGTTAAATAAAGAATTAGCTGGCGAAATGAATAACCGTAACGCTCCCCCTCCCCCCCTAGCTACCAATCCTCATGAGGGGCGAAAATTAAAACATGAAGAATGGCGTGGTTTGGTGTACAAAGGCCAATGCTGCCATCGGTGGCGTCCGTCATCCTAGGGCGGCGACGCATGCACCTACCATGCAGGGGGTGCAATTAAGTTACCGGGGGCTAAAGGGAGGGTTGGAAAACCCCTCGGAGCAAACCGGGGAGCCACGAAGATGGAGTGATCGAAGAGTGACCACGATTGCAGGAACGTGTTTGTCCTCAGCCTCCGGACGACGGAAAATTCCTCATTCGGGAGGCAGCAAACGAACCCAATGCCATTCAAGGCGGTAGGGCTGTTGAAACAACAAGACAAGGGGTATCAATCGTGTGATAAGTTCTGTGCGTTGTGTCCCTCGCCAGGAGGACCTGCAACCGGCACCCAGATGCAGTGCAATGGAAGGAAATCAACAGTAGCGAAGTGCTGATTGTCCAAGTCCCTGTTGGACACCTTGTGACAATGCGGACTGGCAAAAAGCTGGAAGAAGGAAAGCTAGAGTCCCTCCTCCTCCTCATCGTTTCTTTTTATTTATTTATTTATCTATTTTGTTTTGTTTATTGTTTCATCCATTTAATCCTTTTTTCTTTTTCATGATTCAATTCTTATGAAATTAGCTTCACGCGAAACAACCGCAAGCGGCTAATCACACCCCTTCAAGCATACTTCAATCGCCAGACCACCACTATGCTTTTTTCCAGGGTGATTTTTTATGTCGTCCCCCTCCGCCGGAATCTAATAACCCTCACCGTGGGCCCAGCTGAGGTCGATTTCTTCTCCGTTGCGAACATTCTCTACGCGTGGAATCGCGCATTCGCGACTCCACTCCCAGAGCTTACGCCACCCAAACTCTTTGGCCCCTGACTGGCAAAATTCTTCACAACGCAACTGCAACGAACAACAACAACAATGCATCGCGTGAGGTGACAAGGTAGTCGGGAAGGGAGTGAGAGGTGGTTGATGGGGCAAACTTTGTCGCGCATGTGCCTGCGCGGAATCAAATCTCTCGGTTGTCGCAGATGTTGTTGCTGGACACCGGATGAAATTGGGATAACAGGAAGAGGAAAATCCCTTTCTTCTAGCTCTGCTGTTTCACTTTTCCCGTCTTTCTCTCTTCTTTTGCAGTACTTTCCAGTGGCCCTCCTCCTTCTTCTTCTTTCTCTTCTGCTTCTTCTTCTTTTCTGCTGCTGCTTCGGTTGTTGCATCTTCTTCTTCCCAGTCGGATGGAATGTCGCGCCGGTCACCTCGGTGGCTTCCCCATTGGCTGGCATCCTGTTGAAACCTCGAGGTCCTATCACCCGTCGCCATTAACAATGCGGGGCATCGGATGGGACAACTCCAATTAAACAAATGGGCCATGAAAATTAATATCAGTATTTTTAAATAAAAGAAAAACCCCAAAAAACCAAAATTAAAAAAACAATCCGTCTAACTGGAATGGACCTAATGCGTCCACCACGGTTTCGCTGTTGAAATTGAGCTGCGTGAGTCACAGCTGGCCGCTTGAGCTGACACAGTTATGGGGGTGGCTGTCCCCTGTCCCCCACAGTGAGCCGATTATTTTCTAGCATATCCCACCCTCAGTGAGACAGGTTTTTACACTTGCTATTCTGTATTTGCAATGAACAAATAAATTAAAATAACATATGGAACACTAGTATCAGTGGAAAAATTCAAGCAGTAAAGGTTCAGCAACAGAAAAAACTAGAAGACATTAGTGAAAAAGAGTAGAAAAAGTTTCATTTGGAAATTAATGGGAAAATGAGATATGAAAATTAATGGGGAAGAAAGTAAAAAGGTGCAGCAAACAAAAAGACACTGGAAATAGGGGGTTTTAGATGGAGTAAGAATGAAGTTGAGGGCTGAGAAAAAGTCTTTGCAGAGATAAGCTGAGACTCATGTTGACGATAAGCCCAAAGGGTGTATTGTTGCTCAACTTATAACCAGAAGTCATCGCATAGAGAGAGAGAGAGAAGATGAATCTTGTTGTGTTGTCATTTTCAATCTCTTTTTTAGGGTTTTAACAAAATCAAACAGGGAAACAAAAACCTTGTCTTCATTTTCCTATGATTATTATTATTATTATTAGTTCATTTTTTCTTAAGAGATTTTAAGAAATGAGCACACTTTATCCTAGGAGTGTGTTGCAATGTGTTCAAAACTTGGAGGCTCTCACATCAACCTTTACACCATATATTGGGGGCAATCAAAATCAAGGTTGTGGGTCAATTTCTCAACTCGGTGGTCCTGGTTTTGGGGTGGTGCCACTCGGCGCTGTGGGAGGGAGCAAGAGGGGGAGTTGATGGAACAAGCAGTAAATTGACCTCTGACCTTATTTGCAACTGCCAAAAAACACAATATGCCTCTTATTGGGGAGTTGCAGAATGGCAACAAAATTGCCAGTTCAATAGTGCAATGGGGTTGATATTATAGCCATTGCATGTTATTCTCATGTAATTTCCTGGTTTTTCATGTAATGAAACCAAAAGAAAGGAATGAGGCTATCTTGCTTTCTTTCTTTCCTTTTTTCCCCTCTCACACATCACCAAAGTAGGTGAGAATTTAACTTCTCCTTCTTTTTTTTTATTATTTTTATTTGAGTAATACATAAGAGGAGCCTAACTCTCAAACCTAGATTGAAATACCCCCAATCCATTGCATTGATTTTAAACTTCATGAGATTTTCGATGTTGAAAAACTAAAATTATGCAATAATGTTATTCTTTGTAGATGTGCATGGCAATCTACATTTCACAAAAACAAGAGCTCATCCACACTCAGCTATCTTTCAATACTATCACATGGTTCATTATTTACTTGACTATGTGTTACAACCTACTTAATTTAGGGAAGTAAAATAATTTCAAATAATTTTCCATTCATGTTTAGTCTCCAAAACTACCCAAACCAATACATTCTATTTATTCTATTCCCAGAGCCTCATTCAACCTCCAAACCGTGCCAAAAACAACACTTGGAAAAAGTTATAGAGCAGAACTCAATCATCTAACACAATTCTCAACAATTACATGAAATAAGTGTCTATTTCCATATCTAAAAATTTTAATATTTTTCTTTTTTTCCCCTCTTCTTAGAATAGAATAAATCAAAATCATAATCCATCCATCCACTCATCCGTCTATTAATCCAAAACCAAGAATAGCAAAAGAAACAAAAAAAAGAAGAGAGTGGTGGGGGTGTGAGGTTGGAAAGAGATTGCAGTGAATATAACTGAAGCAAGAGGAGACGGAGTGAATAAGCATCAAAAGAAGAAGACAAAGAAGAAGGGGGTATAAAGGTCTTAATCCTTACATTCTACTATTCTCAGTGGCTCCTAATTACTTATTTGCACAAGGCAGAATCACAAGTTAGTACTAGTTCTTCCTTGGTTAGCAACTACACTAAGTCACTTAAGAGCACTTGTGGAGTACTCACTTCACTTGTCTATAAGGCATATCTTAGTATGTTGGTGCGGCTTTTCTATACCCTTGTAATCTGGGTATGCTCTAAATTATATTTTTGTTAATTCAGTGTATCACGCCCCAATCTTATTGCATCATGACCTTCTTTGCATTCAAACTCAATAGGTGTAAGACACCCTACCAACTATTAAGTATCTTTGTCTTAGTAGCACACTCAATCGAATTCATTCCATTCTTGCAACTAAGACATAATATCACCTAGTCATATGCCCAATTCCTTAGTCGCCATCCTTATTCAAGAGAGCATTATATCATCTCTCACTTACAAAACTTGATATCTTTATCAAATTAAGTAAAGAATCAAATCTACATTCTTGAGAATAATGAGCTCTCATTAACTCTTCATCTTTCTTAGTGAAGGAATACTTTCTTCCTTCACTAGTGATTCCATCCCGAGTTCTATAATCCTACTTTTTTTACAACTTCATCCTATCAATGATAAATTTTATACATTTAAAAAATCTGATTAATAAAATTTATTTTCAGTCTATTCTACCCTTTTATTTGTCC